TCAGAAGACAAACATGACTTCGTTCCCAATTTCATTTTAGGATTGTATGTACAGACAGCACATGGATTTGGCAGAGAAGAAAAGCAGTATGCTTTTCACTGCATACAGGTGTGCCTAAAGTTTTTAAAGAAGAATAAAGAGCAATGGGTCACGCAAAAGCTCATTATCTGGGTCTGTCATCATAGCTTGGATCCTGACGTGCTAAGGACAGATTATGTTGCATCTGTGATATTAAAATACATCTGGGTATCTATAACTTTTCTATACAAAGCACAGAAACTGAGAGTCATGTCTCTTTAGAGCAAGATCGAACATACCCTTTCACTGAGGGAGGTATAGGGTTTAGGGCTTTATCTTGTACTTTGCTTATCCTATAATAGAAGTAATAATACCTACCTTATAGGATGTGAAGATCCTGAGATTCCAGGGTAGATGGCCATTCTGTTACCTGAATATGTTTTTAATGTGCAGCATTAATCTAAGGAAAGTGAAAAACTGGTGATATTTTACTTCCAAAAATCCAAATTATATGAAACTTAAGTCATCTTCAGTAGCTTCAGAAATGATAGGGGAGATACAATTTGAAGTGAATATTGAAGAAAAGACAAGGCAATTTGCAATGAAGCCTATTTCTAGCTATTTCTAGGGTCAAATGGACTTCCAATAGAAGAAATGAATGAAGAACACTAAGAAGTAAAACTTGATTCGATTGCAACAAGAAACATTTGGGAAATTCCAACTATCTAGAGCATACCAACTTTAAAGCAGACTGTCAAAACTGACCGTGCTGATTTCATTTTAAAGCTTGAGGTTCTTTCCTCAACCCAAAACACGGATGCCAAGTTATGCTTTATAATTGGACTCTCCACTTTCATTAAAGGTCATTATAAGGAATTGCCACCTAAAATGTGATATATATTTTGAGCGAGCTGGTATATCTCTTGTAATTGCCTCTATAAAGTACCTGCAATAAATGCATTTTTAAAAGTAGATTTCAGTAATATTTTCTTCACCTGTGACATACTACTTATTTTGTTTTGTCACTATGATAATGTGAGAATGGAACATTTTTCTTTATTTTTTGTTCTTATTTCCTTAAAATTTTAGAGTAATAGTCACTAATCAATAAATATAACAAATTTAGAAAGATTTAGTTAATTAGGCTTTCTATGACAAAAAAAAAAACTAAGACTCTAGTTACAAAATGTTAATGCTTATGTGGTATCATCATGGTCTATACTGTATAGTCAGAGTAAAGAAACATAGCTGGTTTGTTTTTGTTTTTGTTTTAGACAAAGTCTCCCTCTGTCAAGCGCAGTGGTGCAATCACGGCTCACTGCAACCTCTGCCTCCTGGGTTTAAACAATTCTGCTGCCTCAGCCCCCTGAGAAGCTGGGATTACAGGCACGCATCACCACACCTGGCTAATTTTTGTATTTTTAGTAGAGATGGGGTTTCACCATATTGGTCAGGCTTGTCTCGAACTCCTGACCTCGTGATCTGCCCGCCTCAGCCTCCCAAAGTGCTGGGATTACAGGCGTGAGCCACTGCATCTAGCCAGCTGTATTTTTAGAGCAATAATTTGTCTAGTTATTTACAATCAAGAGTGTTAAGAGCACATGTATTGCAGACAAATCTCTTATACACTTACCCAATTATATTCAATTTTTTTTCAGAACGTTACCTTAGAACTGGCCTGATACCTATTTGCATATATTTTGCTTCTTATCTTAATAAATACTGGCCACTATTTTCTTTTCATCACATTGTTTTCCTTCTTGGGCAGGGTAAAAAGAAGTTGACTATTCTGACAATTCCCTGTGGAAAAGTTTCTCTGAACACAATTTTATTATGGGCATTGAGTCTCTTTGGGGTTAATTTTTTTCTTCCCCATGACCACAGTCTGCACAATGATGATGTTGTGGATTTTGAACCTGAATTTATACCAGTATCTTTGGGTTCCTCATGCTGGCATAGGCATGCCTGGCTGAGAAAGATGCAATAATTTAAAAAAACTTATTATTGTCCTTATTACAATTAGCTTACTTATTGTTCCTACAGATATTTTTTTAACCATGTTCTGCTAAATCTAGAGTGGCTGCTTGCTAATAAAAGTTTAGCTTTTTTCACTAAGCTTCCAATGTGGGACTCTAATCCATTGTCATAAGTAGTGGCCAACATGTCCCTACTCATTGTAGCTGTGATACAAGTGTATTGTAAAAAGATCTGATTCAGATAGAATTGGGGATCTCTAAGTACACTTCCACAGTATTTAGAATTTTTATTTTGGCCCAAAAATCTACAAGGTAGTGGGGAGTTAGGTGAGTTTCTTAAGCCATGACAACTTGTCAGCTTTAATACCTCCAGGTGAGGATGAGTTACCAGCCAGCTTGGGCCCATTTTGTAGTCCCCATCCAGCACAGACACACTGGTCAGGGGCAGAAACAAAACAATTCAGTGAGAAAGCTGATATGGTTGGCTGAGGTAATACATTCCATGCATTTGTGTGAATACCTCCTCTTGAATATTTGATGATTCTGGAATGGTTTGGAGAAGACTTCAAAAATAACATGTTTAATAAGAGGGAACTGTAGGATACTGAAGAACCATTGCTCAAGACCCAATATACTCAGCTATTGGTGATACCATTTCAGTACTTTGTTAGCTAGAACCTAGAAGCTGGGAAGACATTTATGAGAGATTATCAAAAAGGTGGGATGCAGCTGAAACCTTTATATTGTTTCATAATCAGTGTTGTTGTAAGATGACCTAGTTCTTTACAAATATCTTCAGAAAAGCAAGGGTACGGTTAACAGACGGGGATTTGTAGGATAAGAACAGAAGGGCAGGGCAAAATCTATGTTCATAGATAGACCCTTGAGATTCTCCTTGTCTTGTTGACATAGCAATTAAAAAAGGAGACTACCGATTATTGAAAAAGTTATCTTCCTTTTATTTTAGGGCTTAAGAAAAAACATGACCCAAAACTTGGAAATAAGGCAAAAATAGTACTGCCTACCTTTTCAAAGATACCGTACTAAAGAAAGCACTGTCCTACAAGCCTGCAAGGGTCATCCAATGGCCTTTGGGTAGCAAGAGGTCATTTGATTCAGGCACTGCCTTGAGCAGAAAACAATGGCCCAAGATTTCAGCCAAACCCAGCTCTCCACCTGTTTTTGAACAACTTTGAACTGAGAATGCTTTTTTACAATCTTAAGTAGTTGGAAAAATATCAAAAGTAGAATAATATTTTGTCACATGTGAAGTTTATATGAAATTCAAACTTTAGAAGAATTTTTTCTTCACAAAAGTCACATTTTTAAGAGCAAATGTTTGAGCCCTTATCTGCAAGTTATGGCAGAAAATTTTGTCCAAAAGTTCAGCCTGGTCCTCCCCTAAGTTTCCAAATCCTATGCCTAGGGGTATTTTATGCTTACAGGATCTAACTTAGTTACAGTGTCTTCCTTTTAGCAGAGATACAGTGCTGAGGAGAAACTGGACTTGCTAGTCATATCAAGGCACTTAAGTTGGTTAGGATCCCCTACTTAGGTAGCGGCCATAAAGCCCAGGATATCCCTGTGCCCTCAATGGTTCACTTCTGAGTGGTGGGCTTCCTGCTCCTCAACCGAGCAATCAGCAGAAAGGCCTCTAGAAAGCTACATTCTCTTCATCCAAGGGCGCCCAGTCTCCTATTCCTCAAAGGAGCACCCGGATTCTACTTTTATTCCTCTTTTGCCATTTCATTTTATAACGTAAAAGTAATAGATGGTTGTAACAGAAGAAAATTTTACATTGTGAGAAAATTTAGACCTAAAGCATATAGTAATGAGAGGACAAAAGTCTATACTGTTTAAGTAAACAGGTTCTATGAGCAATTTCCAGGCTAACATCACAATGGTATTTTAAATTAAACTGTACTTGTGTTTTGTTTCCTTGTTTTGTTGCTGTAAGGAAAGAGGAAAGCATCTCCTTTCTTGGTCCTCCTCCCACCTCCAAGCTAATTTGCAGTATTTCTATATCTCAGAGTCCACCCTTAAGATCCTTGCTACCCATTATTTTGTCTCAGAGCGCTTAATCCATCCAGGAAGGTTAAATTGGATTATCCCAGTAGAAAAGGGATGAGGGCTTTGAGAATGAGGGATTATCCCTCTAAAGGGCTGATAGTGTGTGTGTGAAAGAGAGACAGAGATTATCCCTCTAAAGGGCTAGTGTGTGTGTGAGAGAGATTATCTTTCTAAAGGGCGTGTGTGTGTGTGTGTGTGTGTGTGTGTGTGTGTGTGTGTGTGTGTGCGTGTGTCCTCCTAGTGTTGAATGATGGAGACCCGAATCTGGAACCTGAATCCAGGTGTATCGGATGCCGCTGCGGTGTAGAAAGGATTAAAGATGCCCCCTGCCGGGTAGAACAGGAGTTGCGCAGGGTCTCAACCCCTTAAGAGCCGCCCCTCAAAACTGAAAATTAGTAAATCGTAGTTCGTAAATCAGAAAGATTATCCAGTAGCACGTTGTTCTGTGTATTTCCCTTTCGTCATCCCTGCGCCTACAGTCAAGTCCATCCCAGCTCTGTCCTCTAGGAATGAAGGAAATGCGCAAACCCGCGGCGGGTTCGCAGCCGAAGGAAGGGCAAACGCCGTCCCCGCCGCGGCCGCCGCCCCGCGTTAACTGCCCCAGAGAATCTCAGGGGCCGCCCGTTCCCTCCTGAGGAGGATTCTCCCTCCCGCGAGAACTTCTGGAACGCCGCGGGGCCTGACTTTGCAGCCGAGGCCTCCGACGCCGCTAACATTGGGCCAAGCAGGGAGGGCTGCTCTTCCTTACAGGGTTTTTGTGAAAGTTAAGTGGGCCAATTAAAGGGCAAAACACACAGTCTGGAACAATACAGAGCTCCATAAATGGCCTCCATTATGATCGTTATCCGTTAGTCGTAACTGTGGATGAAAAAAACAACAAAAATCTGGGGAACCGGAAAGGTCTGCAAAAGGGGCGGAACGCGGGAACTTCGATTTGGGGAAGGGGTGGCGGCGGAGATCCCACACAAGCAGCCAATCCAGCTGTCCCGGGGAGGAAGAGGAGGAGCCAGGGCCCGCCCCAGGTCTCCGCACTGCCGACTCCCGCCTGTGAGGTTGGCACAGCTGCAGCTCTTTGGCTCGCTTGGTTCCCTTAGTCCCGAGTGCTCGCCCACTGCAGCTTCCTTTCCCGTGCAGACATGGCTTCAAGCACCACCACCACCGTCGTGAAGGTGAGATGAGCCCTCCCAGGTGCAGCGGTCCGCCCTGCCGGGTGCCTTCTCGCCTCCGCCCCGGGGGACCGCGCCTCGGGGGGCTGTGCGCCCTGCTTTTGCGCCCCTGCAGTGGCCGGGAGGGACTGGGACGCGGCACTCGGGACTCACTTGCCGCGCGAGGAGAGGGTATGCTTGCAAACGACCCCTCACACACACACACGCACACACACCACCTTTTGGCTCATCCGCACCCGCACCCCACAGGGGGTCGGCACCCCTTTGGAAAGAGGGGTCGTGGGTGTGAGAAGCTGCGCCCATGCCGCCGCCATTCCCAAGCACCACTCTTCTTCCAAGAAAGGCACTCGGCTGGAGCCAGCAGGTGGCCCAGGTGTCTGGGCGCCTGCAGCTTCTGTGACCGTCTCTTAGTGCCTTGCGGGACTTCGGCTTCCGCTCTCTGACTCCGCTTGCTGCCTAAGGCCCACGTGGGAGAACTGCTTACTTGCTCTTTTGCTTGCTTCCGGCTTTTTTCCTCTAAACGTGGGCCTTCTCCGTGCTGAAGTTTTTCCCAGCACCGTAATGCTGTAGGGATTCCGAGACTTTTTTAAAAGCACCGAAAAGAAGTACAGGCGTCCCATTTTGGGGCTTCACCATTTGAAGGCCTCTGGCTTGAAACTGCTTTGTTTTGCAGCCTTGCAAGTTAGAGTTCAATTTCCTTGTGCCCTAGGCCCTCCGGGTCCTGGATACAAGGGATCATTGTGCGGTGGGAGGCTTTGTGCAGAGGAGGGCACGAGTTCTCAGAGTAGCAGCTGGCTTCCCTGGGGGTTTTAAACACTTCTCCCCTGGTTAGTGTCCGGAGAGAGAATTACAGCACATAAAGAAAAATTGCTAAAACTTAAGAGCTCTTTCGGGCAGTTTATTACTGGCTAAGAACGCAGTTAACTTATTTGATTTTTAGAAATTTTTGGCCTATGGGATAGGAAGATTGCTATCTTCTCCAAAGCATCTCAGCTCCCTACGCTTGACTGCGGTTTTCCAGGGAGAAGGCGATCTCTGCGGTCAATGTGTAATCAGCCAGATTAGTTTATTAAGCCCTTGAAGGTTTAAATGAGGCCCTTAAAATGAGAGGAATGGTAAAGGGTGTTGCAACCAGACTTACGTATGAAACTTATTTTGTCATTTTGAAAAGAATCTTACATCCAGCAAATATATATAGAAGTCCTCGCCCCTGCCTTCATGGCATGGCAGAAATGGTTTTCATGAAACTTGCGTGAAGTATGTTACTTCCCTTAGGTACCCACGTATAAACTGAGAACTTTACTGCAGAATTTGCCAGGAGGGCTAGAATTATATTGTCTGTATTGCACATGGTTGAAGCTTGTTAAGTGGTAGTGCTTATAAGGGGGAACTGAGATTAATTTTGAATGATCTTTTCCCCAACAGTTATTAAGTTATTGTGTTAGGTGTTATTAGGCCACAACTTTTCACCTTCTCCTTACAGGAATACACTTAAAGTGCCACTAAAAACAGAGAGATGGTGATTAATCTGGTTAGCATTCCCCTTGCCACACCCTTTCCTTTCAAATTAATGCAGTGCATTTAAGTGCAGAATGGGCAATGTGATTCTCAGAGGCCTGATGTAAATATTGAATAAGGTGTATTTTTGGTCTTGGCAGGCTTCTGGATATAAAATTAAGAGGTACATATGGTGCTAGGACTGCCTGTTGATTTTTCTTTTGGTTTAGAACAGATGACAGCTTTGCTATTGAGATTCTATGATGCCAACACCATATTCCCCAGATTTCTAAGGCAACATTCTATATAGAAAATGTGAGGTGCCAGTGTCCAAAGTAAAATAGGTTAATAAAAACCACGTCCTATTCCCAAATTATAGAATGATGGAGCTGGAGTGTTTCTTCAAGACCATCATATAGCCACACAGACCCCTTTTGTGCGTGTAAAGTTAAGGCCCAGAAAGGTCAGCTAAGGGGCCCAGAATTATACAGCTGGACCTAAAGAATGACAGAATTGGGCCTAGAGCCTGGCACTCCACCAACTAGATGTGAGGCATTTCTGAAATCTGAAGTGTGGTCTCTCTGCCCTGTTTTCTTGTGACTGAATGCACAGTAAAAGATGAGTACTTTATAGAATGTCCATCTTGAAGAGGGAGGCAGAGTGCATGCATGAAGCAGGCCGCCACTTGGTCCTCACTGGATCCCACCCAAGTATTAGGTGTAGGAGGCATGTGTGTCTGAGCCCCACTGGTGTCACTGGCAGGTGGTGTGTGTGGTTTGATTCACTGCCATCATTTCATCTGGTCGTTTATGAAACAACAGTTCAGTTGGAAGAGGAGGGGCCGCAGCTCAGCTCAAGGTGGTGAGGGGAAGAAAACGCTGTAGAGACGAGACCCAGGTTCATATCCCAGTGCCATCACTTCCTCATCAGCAAATGAACCCCTCAGCCTTAGGGTCCTCAGCTGTGAGGCTAGAGTTAGTAATAACTACTTTGAGAGATGGCTGGATTTAAATACAGTAACATGTAACACACTCAGCCCAGTTCTAGGTACTCCTTTAATGTCAGCCCAAGTACTTCTCTTTCTAAAATAGAGATATGAACAGGGGATGGATCTTAAATTTATTCTCAATTTAAGAGGTGCAGTTAGCTCATGGAAGTGAAAGATTCCACTGAGTTTTGGATTGGCAGTATAATATTTGGCATATCTTTCAAATCTAGCCGTCTACTGGTGGAATCCAATTCAAAAATATTTATTGAATACCTGCCAGACACTGAGGATGCATCTTTGAATAAGCGAGTCCTCTATTTTCTTCAAGTTTATATTGTAGTCAGGCTGCAAAACCAACTGGCATGAAAGCAAAACAGCAGTAAGAGTCAGTTGGGTAAGGGGTGTCAGAAAAGACTCCTAGGGAGGTAGATCTTAAGCTCTGCAGTGGTCTGCCTCCAAAATCTGTATGTTGAAATCTAATCGCCAATGTGATTATATTAGGAGATGGGGCTTTGAGGGTGATTAGGTTATAAAGGTAGAGAGCCCTCATGAATGGAATAAGTGCCCTTACAAAAGGGGCCCTAGAGAGCTGTCTTGTTCCTTCCATTAAGTGAGAGGACACCATCTATGAGCCAAACATGGGCCTTCACCAGACACAATGTGCTGTGACCTTGAACTTGCCAAGCCTCCAGACAGTGAGAAATTTCTGCTGTTTTTAAGTCACCCAGTCCTAAGATATTTTGTTATAGCAGCTTGAATGGACTTAAACAAGCTGATAGTGTAAATAAGGATAAAGATCCAAGTGAAGACCTGAGGATAGAGATGAGGGTCAGGACAGCGAAAACCAGGGTTTCACAAAAGTGAGCTCAATGTGGTAGGAATGGAAATCACGGATGCACAGTGAGAATTGGGTGGATGCAGCTCGTAAGGCCATTCTTGTAGACCATGATCAAGAAATTTAATTTTATTTTAAATGTTTTGAAAGCTGTTGAAGGGTAAAAGCAGGAGTTAGCACTTGATTTACATTTTTAAATGATTACACTGGCTGCCAGTACAGAATAGCCTGTGGGGGGCAGGGGAGAGGGAGAGCTGAGAGGCCAGGCAGAAGTCTTGGTGCTGGTGCTGAAGTCTAGGGTGGAAGCCTTGGAGGTGGTGAGGAATAATCAGATTGCAGATAGAATTTTCAGGTAGAGCAGAGAGATGGGTAAGGTGTAGGGAGTGCAGGAAGAAGAACAGGATGATTTCTGGTTTTGACCTGGAAAGCCAAAAAGATGGTGGTACTGGTGGATCATTTCAGAGTAGGAGGTAAAGGACCATAAATGACTCCTTGGAGCCAAGGAGGTTGAGCGTACGATTTCTTCCTCCCAGATACTGCTGGTTAGGGGGCCAGAGGCTGAGATACTGAGGAGCCTCTTTGCTATAGGAGCAGAGTAGGTGGCAGGTTGAGGGAGGGAGGGAGGGAGGGAGGGAGCCAGCTGGAGTGAGAGTAATGGAAACAGTCTTTTTTTGTGGCTCACTCCAGTGAGAGGTGGTCCAGGCAGAAAGTGAGGATACTACCTGGTGGGTAGCCATGGAGAGAGGCAGCAGGAGCCAGAGGCCATGGGATTAACACAGTCGCTGTGTGAGAGAACCTCCGGGAGACATTGTCCTCCAGCGTTAGCCACAGGCAGGTGGTATTTCTGACTATACAGAGGGCCAAACCAGCCTTTGGCACCCAGATAGAGAACATTCTGGAGGACTCCTGCAGCGAACCATGGCTCCCTGAGCAGCTTTCCAGCTTTCATTCCAGGAGATGAATAATAAAACTTGGCTGGGCACGGTGGCTTGTGGCTGTAATCCTAGCACTTTGGGGGGTTGAGCTTGGTAGATCACTTGAACTCAGGAGTTCGAGACCAGCCTGGGCAGCATGGTGAAACCCCATCTCTGCAAAAAAATACACAAAAGTTAGCCAGGCATGGTGATGTGCACTTGTAGTCCCAGCTCCTTGGGGGCTGAGGCAGGAGAATCACTTGATCCCAGGAGGTTGAGGCTGCAGTGAGTGGAGATTTCACCATTGCACTCCAGCCTAGGTGACAAAGTGAGACCCTGTTTCAAAAAAAAAAAAAAGAAAACCCATACAATGTATTGTCTTACAGTTCTGGAGTCCACAAATCCAAAATGAGTCTTACAAGGCTAAAATTAGCATGTCTATAGGGCTGGTTCCTCTTGGAAAATCCATTTCCTTGCCTTTTTCAGTTTCCTCAACTTGTAGAACCATGAGCTAAATAAACCTCTTTTCTTTATAAATTACCCTGTCCCGGTATTCTGTTATAGCAGCGGAAAAACAGACTAAGAAAACTGTTATGCTTTAAGAGACTGGGACACAGACACGTATATGGAGAACGCTGCCGTCTACAAGCCAAGGAGACTGACCTTAGAAGGATTCAATCCCAATCTCGCCTTGATGTTGGACTTCTAGCCTCCAGAACCGTGAGGAGATAAGTTTCTGCTGCCTATGGGGAAAATCCATTTCCTTGCC